AGAACCAACCCTGTAGCGTTGTTTCGTAGATGATATAGGACAAAATGTATAATATTCTTCAATACGTATATAAGTGTTTATAAAGTTATCACGAGATTTACGTTAATTTTAAAATCGAAACTGAAACGCGCTTTAACTTAACTCTAACAGCATCCATTACTTTTATTTAAAATTTCAAAATGAAAGAATGTTGCTAAAAAAAAATCTCCTACTACGGGATAACACACTACGGTTGGGTTTTTTAACCGAATAATGGAATTTTAAACATCTAAATGACGACAATAAAAGTATCAACATTGCTCTACATTCCTAGAATTTCATTGTTAACCTCTAAATGTTATCGTTTACTTGGTTTAAGGTAAGAAACTCCCATTACTGAACCTGGTGGTATATCAGGAGTCTGCAATTAACCTCTCCCTGGTAATCTTAATCCCGTAATGGATGATCTGTAGACTGTAACTAATCTATCTCAGCAACCTTAAATTCCTGGTGAAAGATTTGGAGTCTGCAACTAATCGTTAAGAAGCAGGACTGTTGATTAATTTGCTGATGAAATATCGAAACGTGTTCTTTGGGCCAAATGCTACTCTAGATCACACCTGCTTTAACTGGCATCACAAAGACTCTGAAGGTGCACAATCCATTAAAGATAACTGGCCTGGAAAAACTAACAACATTGATAATGTTAAAGGAATGAATAAAAATAACCATTATAAAACATGTGAGGAGTGGTTGATGTGATGATTTAAGAGCTCCACAAGGAAGATAAGTGATGCAACCTGAGTCTAGGTCTCCCATTTGCCCAAAATATATTACAAGGTATGGCTTTCTGGTGTTTCTTACCTTGGGCTTAGACGTTAGCTATTGACAAAAAAAAAAGAGTTGAATAAATCAATAACTATAAGTCTGCTTTTGGGTTGTGAAATACTCCAATGACTTTCCAGGTATTGACGTAACTAGAAGTCAACGACCAACAGTGGGGAAAAGATCTCCATGCTTTGTTAAAGTTTTAATTTTTTAGGAGGAATTTTCAACAGTCGTTACAAAATATTGAGAAACGTAACTGAACTTGAAGAAATTTAGGAACGAATCTGAAATGTAGTGTGATGGATACTTCAAAGTGAGATGAAAGGACTTCACCCTGGAAGGAAGGAATCTATGAACATTCGACACCCATTATATGCTACATCCTCTTTATCTGACACTTCTACTTGATGTACTACATCCACTTTATGTGTTACATCCACTTTATCTGATACTTCTACTTGATGTATTACATCCTCTTTATCTGATACTTCTACTTGATGTAATACTTCTATTTGATGTACTTCTTCCATTTTATCTGATACTTCTACTTGATGTACTACATCCACTTTATGTGTTACATACACTTTATCTGATACTTCCACCTGATGTACTACTTCAACTTTATGTGTTACATACACTTTATCTGATACTTCTACCTGATGTACTACTTCCACTTTATGTGTTACATACACTTTATCTGATACTTCTACTTGATGTACTACATCCTCTTTATCTGATACTTCTACTTGATGTAATACTTCTACTTGATGTACTACTTCCACTTCATCTGATACTTCTACTTGATGTACTACTTCCACTTCATCTGATACTTCTACTTGATGTAATACTTCTACTTGATGTACTACTTCCACTTCATCTGATACTTCTACTTGATGTAACAACTTCTACCTGATGTACTACTTCCACTTTATGTGTTACATACACTTTATCTGATACTTCTACTTGATGTACTACTTCCACTTCATCTGATACTTCTACTTGATGTAATACTTCTACTTGATGTAATACTTCTACTTGATGTAGTACTTCCACTTTATCTGATACTTCTACTTGATGTACTACTTCCACTTTATGTGTTACATCCACTTCACCTGATACTTCTACCTGATGTACTA